CGCTGCATATTGAATTGTTTTATAAGAACATAAAGTAGTAGTCAGTCCGTGTGTGTATCGTTGTGGTGTGTGATAAGGAAGGTTGCTAACCATGCAGCTCTATGGGGGTACTTTCGCGTGTTACCAGCTATACTTTGGTTGAGCATTTTTGGTTTGCAGATTGTTAAAATCTGCGATATATTATTGGCGTCGCTTCTAGGATGTTAAAATACTCATCAGGAAGTTCGTTTCCAGCCAAATTGATAAGTTAAGTGCCTGACGGTGTCCTCCTGCACTGGAGTAATAATTGGATGTTGGATATTATGGTCTCCAAAATAATGCGGAGGGTAGTAGAGTATGTCCTCCACTCTGCTTTCGGTGTCGAGTTTGAACCAGTGTTTGAAGTTTGGGACATCTGGTTTGATAAATTTTGCCTGGAGTGTGGTTTTGAAAGCTTCAACTTTATCTAGTGGATTAGCTATGATTGAATTATTGATAACAAGATGAGAGTACGGCCTTGATTTTTGTTTGGTTAGGGTTTTAAATTTATTCCAGAATTTTGTACCATCTCTACGATCCAGGCCTGAGGTAACTTGTCTCCACTGGTCTTGTTTCAACTTGTAAACCTCTAGCGTTTTGGAAGCTGAGAGATTACTATATTTTATTTTGATGTATGGATCTTGGAATCTTTTATACTCTCTGATTTGTCTCCGCTTTGTACGGATTTTAGCAAGGATCCGTTGCAGAGCCATTGTAGTATACGGATTTATTTTAATCATTAGTTAGTTGTTGACATAACACCTAACTCTGAAATGTTGCGGTCAATGAACTCTTGGAATAATAGTTCCCAATTAGCTTTACGATAATCTCGTTTGTAGATCGCAGTTAGTGGTTGGGGAGGGGGGTGTTAAAGTCTTGACTAATAGTGGTAGATGGTCAGAGGTTATCGAGTCTCCAATATAGCATTCATCGTCGAATCTATCCAGTACAGAGTCCGTGCAGAGGATATGATCAACGATGGACGCTTTCTGCTGACCGAAGAACGTGACTTCAGTGTTCCTGATTCTTGAGATGAGCATACATAGAAGTAGGTCTGAGATTTGTCTGCCTGGGATGTTAGTCGAAGTGTAACCAAATTGAGCATGTCTGCTATTGAAATCGCCCAGTAGTACCACTATGCCGAGTGATGAAAAGTACTCGATGAACGATTTGGAAAGGAGCTAATTTGGATGTTTGTAGTACGAGGTGTTGTTATTTAGGTGTAAGTCAACTGCTAGGTAGTCCGTATCTGGGAGTTGTATGGGGGTAGATAGTGTCATCTCTTTCGAGCTGCTGTGAATAGAATAAGATGGCTCAATGTGGCCAACATATCTAGAAGATAGGCACATTTAGGAGAAGATAGTGTGTGTAAGGATGTGGGGATGTTTTTGTGTATGAGGCTGGTCTGGCTTTTGGCTGTGTGATATATAGTGCAGCCACTAAAATTTGTCGTGGATTTGAGGCATGTGTCTGTGAGGGATAGGACTTAAATGTTTTTAAAAAAGAGCCACTGTTTGATCAGAGCCCTTTTCTTAGTGACACCCGCACGGTTGACTGTTCCTATTACACAGTTGAAGAGGACTTTAAAAGTTAGGGATGAAGGTCAGTTCGACCTTGTTGTTTCGAGAGGTAAGGACCACAGTGTGTCCGAAAAGGGAGGCCGTGAGATCGGATGCGTACTTGCTAATCATTTCCCGCCTGTCTGGGAGAATGTTCAACAAGATTGTGATGGTGAACTGGAGGATAAGTTTGATATCTGCTGTTAGTTCTAGCCAAGGGTTCCTTTAAAAAGGACCAGTTATAGATAAAATAGGAATAAAAACCCTAGACTCAGATGTACAGACAGGGTGACGCAAGCTGTTAATAAGACTGGTATTCTTAACTAGAAAAGCCTACCAAAGAACAGAAGAATAAGACCGATCGTTCTAACGGCTGTAGCACTTGTACGATGAAATTATCATTAAAACAATTATATTTAACAATAAAACACTGAAACCTTTGTTTTCAAACTTCCACAAAATTTATTTTAACTTATCACTACAGCTGTTTCGGCTGATTGCCTTTCTCAAGTGCCTTTGTAGTGATAAGTTAAAATAAATTTTGTGGAAGTTTGAAAACAAAGTTTTTAGTGTTTTATTGTTACATAAAATTAATTTCCATCAAGTTACGGTCGAATCCATCAATTAACAATTATATTTCTTGTTATATTATTACGTATCGAATATATTTTAAAATGAAAAATATAGAAAGACGGAACAAAGGTATATTATCGATGTAATAATATTTAACCGCAATCGAAAATTGTATACGAAAAATAATCATCCTAAGTAATTATCCATAAGGATCCACTCCATGACAATCAACAACAATATAACGCTAATATTTGAAGAGAAACTTCGGATAAATAGCAAGTAGTTATACGAGGATAGATTGATATTAAACTAGCCTTTGATAGATGGCGCTACTTGATACCGAATTGGTTTCGGTGTTGACATTTGCCATTCATGACATAACGTCTGTCAAAATTTTAAGTTTTAAAAACGATTAGTTTGATTTTTACAACCGTCAAAAGCAAGCAAATCTTGTGTTTTCGGAGAAATGGAAAAAGGCGAATATCGTTCGGTGATTAAGTTCCTCCACAAAAGGGATAAAACGAACGTGCAGATCAAAGCTGACCTGGACGAAGTTTATGGTGAGGTTGCACCTTCGTTAGCAACAGTAAAATTTTGGAATGCTGAATTTCTTCGTAGTCGTACGAGTGGTTTTGATGGTGAGAGTTCCAGGAGGCCAAATGAAGTTACCTAAGCTATGTGTGCCGCGTTTGCTGACAATCGATCAAATGCAAAAACGTCTGACCACTTCGGAGTCGCTTTTAGCGACGATAGGAAGGAAGGCGCGATCGGAAGGATTTTTTTTTGTCGATTTATCACCGTTGATTAAACCTAGGTGCATTATTACACACCGGAAACCAAAGAACAGTCGAAACAGTGGCAAATGCGGCGGAAGCCGCCGAAGAGGGCAAAGAGTGCACATTCGGTCGGCAAACTGATGGCGACTGATTTCTGGGATGCGAAGGGCATCATTATTTTTTCCTGTTTCCAAACCTAAAAAAATGGGTCGGAGGACGCCGTTTCGCAACAAATGATAAAGTCGTCGCTGAAACTTCGGCCTATTTTGGAGAGCTCAAGCAAAAGTACTATTCGGATGGGATAAAAAATTGGAACATCGTCTTACTAAGTGTATCAAGCTAAAAGGGGACTATGTTGAGAAAAAAATAGATTTAATGCCAAAAAACTTAATTGTTCTATCAAAGGCTAGTTTTATTTCAATCAACCCTCGTAAGTTAAGGTTTTTAATTGCGATTAATTCTCAATATTTATTAATTACAAAAATAATATAGTCGAATATTACCTGTTTTCTTTAGGTTTACTATTTCAAAGACTTACTAAATTGTCTACTTGAACTTACTGTATGCAGTATTGTGCAAAATAGTGGAATCATCGTGACATTTTTTCAATATTCACAGTTGGCAGCACTGTCGACACATTGCCAACTGACCCAGCATTAAAAAAATAATCCTTCTTTTCTCTGCCTTTTATTTGATGGTATTTTAGGACATTTCTCAATAAGTTTGTGTTGTTTTGTACTATTTTATGCTGTCTTCGGTAATTATTGAGCTTGTTTCGTTTAATTCCATCATGGATATTACGCCTAGGAAGCGTAAAAATCTTATCACGTTAAGTAAACATATTTCTATGTCACAAAGAGAAATCGCAAGAACGTGTGGAGTGACTCAGGGGGTAGTAAGCAAGAATTTGAAGTGTAAACGAGAAACGGGATCAATGCATGTGAAAAGGTTAGGAAAATGCGAAAGAAAGAGAAAAATAATACTAGCAGATGAAAGGTTTACTTCGAAAAAGAAAATTGAACCCAAGCAAAACAAGCTAAGATCTCTAATAAGATCTAGCAGCATCAGGTGTAGTATTCATGACTCAACTGTTTGGAAAAGATTTTTGGGGAATGGAAGAAAGGCAATGCTTACACAGAAAATCATATTTTATCTGAACGAATGAAGTTACTATTGTGGGCCAAAAATACTCTAAGTGGACTGTAAAAGACTGGAGAAAAAATATTCTAGAGTCCAAGTCCTACTTGGAGATGAAAGTCACTATAGTTTAGGGAAAGCGGTCAAAATTCATCAAGATCTCTGACTATGGAAACCTTTAAACCTCTCATATTGATGAAACCTTAAAACATCAAGCCAAAAAAATGTTTTGGGGATGTTTCCCATACATGGGGGTTAAATTTTTGGTACCAATTGAAGGCATAATAAACAGCCAAAAATAAAAATCCTTGTCGGAACAGCGTTCGGACGCAAAAATTCAAAAAATTCAGCCCCAAGGAGAAGTAATTCTTCAACAGGAGTCTGCTTACTGTTACCAGTCTAAACAACTTATGAAATTTTGTCAGAATATTAATATTATTATTGTAGATTGTTCTGGTAATTCGCCAGACCTCAACCCCATTAAAAATTTATTGGCCATTTGCAAAGCTATACTTGCGCAAAATCGACTGTAATACAAAAATATTAAAATTATAGAAGAAGTCAGTCAGGTTTGGCTTCAAAATGAAAGGATGTCTAGGAATTGTCAGAAGCTTGTAGAATCTATGCCAAAACAAGTGAAACAGTAAACCTTTATAGTTTTGTTAAAATATATTTTTTTTCTAAATAAACTGTTTTATTTATTAAAACAGCCTATGATTCCACTAATTCGCACAATACTGTAACTACCTAACGCAATATTTTCGGTGATTTACTATACAACGGTCAAAGTAAAGATACTTATGTTTACTTATGAGGTTGGTTGTTCCATTAAGGACTTATCAACGTACTGGTAGAAATAACTGTTTACAAAACTATTTTGTCCAGGTAAATAAAAGGTTCAATAACTAAAAATTCTACGTATTTTTAAAAAGGATACATTCTAACATTGAAGAAACGGACTGAGGTGAGTCGTCCATCCTCCCCACATATTTGGCTACTTCTTTCCTAAGGTCATGGAATGTGCTATAGTAAGGTGGCAGATCTAAGTCTTTCCTACACGCTTCCGGATGCAGGCACTGTCGTAACGGAAGTTGGCCATCGGTTACTATCCTAAATCCAGAATTATTGGGATCTAAAAACAAATCAAAAATTAAACTTGAGTTTCCTTGTACAATTGCTTAGTAAATTTTGCTTTTATGTGATGAGCTAAGGACGAAGAATATGTTTAAAACTGGTAAATATTTTACATTTCTTTATCAGTTGTTTCTTCTCTGAATACTCTAAACATAAATTCAAGAGGGTATAGGTACCTAAACTAATTTTGACGGCTCAGGTTTTCAAGACGTTACTCGACATATTATAGGATCAGATTAAAAATTAGTGCTGAAAAAATTCAGATTCAAAGATTCAAAATCAGAATTAATATCTGAGTCGGAGAAAGAATAGAACCTAAGCGATGAAATCACAGAGGAGAGTCAGCTGGAACTGATGCTTTATATCAAGAGTGATAAGAACTTCGCTAATAAAAGAGTACTTAAAGAGACGCGGAAGTTGCAGAAAAAGAGAAAAAGATGAAGAAAGAGGGCGACCAAGAGAAAGGCTGGAAAAGAGAGTAGAAATATAAGAGCTGGAAGAAGCTAGCTCATAGAAGACAGGCCAAAGAAAAGAAAAAAAAGAAAAGAGATGAAAAAGGAAAAGAAAAGATGCAAAAAGTTGGAGAAAAGAAGGCAGAATATCAAGGAAAAGAATACAAAAGATTAGAAATAGAAGGCCATGAAAAAAGTAAGGACCATATTCCCAGATTTGCTACCTCCTTCAGCAGAAGCGGATGAGGAAAATGCTTTGGAAACCATGAGAATGACAATCTCTGCTCATAAAAATAGGTAATGAATAAATAAAGAGAAGTAAGGATTCATCCCCCTTCATATGTACAAGTTGGGTCTCGCGGAGTCACCTAATTGCAAGTGCGGAAAAGAAGGTAACCTATTACATATTTTCCTTGAATGTTCCCACGAATCAGTAAACATAAACAAATTTTATGATAATCTTATTATATTAAAAATTCCACTACCCGTCTACCTAAACAATTTGGATTTTCTCTAGAGATATCAATATATTAAAAACGATTTACGAACACATCAAAAACTGTAAATATAAATTGTAGCTTAAAACTAACCCTTATATATAAGTAAATATTGTATTATAGCAGAAAAAAATATATATAAAAAAAAATTAAAAAAAAATAACAAAAAAAAATAAAAATAAAAAAAAATACTAAAAAAATAAAAAAAATAATAATAATAATAAAAAAAAGAATTAAAAAATAAAAAGGAAGATGTAAACCTCCGAGATGTTGAATCGGGTTATGTATTAGCGCAGGAAAAAAAACATATTATGTATATTATTAAAAATTGCATGTTAGATGCATTGTACGGATGATTGTATGTTTATTCCTCTAAATGTAAAAAATTCCTCTGATTGTTAAAATTGTTTGTCTTTAAATTTGTCTGGCTAATTGGCCATCAAACTAATAAAAAAAAATAAGGATTCAAACTTCTTAAGAACCATCAAACCAAGAGAACAAAAGTCGTGATTATAATAAATAAAACTAAAGAAATTCGTTCGTAGATCTAATGAAGGAAATTAAAGAAAACCTGGCAGGAAGGAAAGATGTGGACATAAACAAAATTACATAGACAAAGGACCAAGAGATATCGCTGTAACTGGAAGGATGAAGAGAAATAGCTGAGAACGTCAAAAAAATAAGTTTGGATAAAAAATGCGTATACATTTTTCAGAGCACCTACAGCTACCTTTATCTTTAAAATGCAAAAACCCTGGTTGTACAGGAAAATCAATATGGAAATGTCAAAAGTGCACTGTCCATTTGCATATGCGCTAGTTTTTTTTAAATTTGTTAAGTACTTTTGGGAACAAATAAACCCATAAATATTTTTTTATATATACACATGTTATACTTTTTTAATGTCCAAAAAGTGTTATATGAACTGTTAAAAGTACATTTTAGGCAAAAAATATTTTTCGTTTGCTGAATAAAGGGTTAACATGTCTTCCCGGGATAAAAATTTTATGGTTAAAAAATTGTGGTCACTGGTTTTTATTCACACAGCGCCGGGCCCGTCAACTCTTTCATTTGAATGTCATTTTAGATGTGTTAAAGGTATAAGCTGTTCTGATCATTTTTTTAGAAGTTATTGAAAATTTTCGTGTTTGTCAACATCCTGGTATAAGGTAAGTATATTTAATTAATTATTACAATCAAATTTTCATACATAATACAGGAAAATGATAGTAGCTTCTTCAAATAGGTGTATTTAGGCTACAAAACGATGTGTCTGTGTAACGCCTTCTTCTTCTGATGGCGCCGTCTTGATTCGAAGGTTGGCGGTCCAAATGGCAATTGTGGTTTTGGAAACTGCTACGCGAAAGATTTCAGCGGATGAGCTGTCGAACCATCTACTCAGGTCTTTCAGCCATGAGTTCTGGCGTCTTCCTACTGATCTTTTGCATTGTACTTTTCCTTCTAGTATAATTTTATTGTGACATGTAATACTAAAAACGTTTTTTTAGGTGTAGCGATGGTGTCAAAATATTAGAGAAAGAGTCATCAGCAGTTATGGGACATTACAGCGATGCAAAGAGCAATCGATGCCGTGAAGAAAGACTGAATGCCTTATCAAACGGCTGCTAAAACTTACAATGTGCCTAGGACCACACTAAAACGTCGCGTACTAAATAAAAATCAAGACGCCACTGACAATAAAAAAAAAGTATTAGGCCATTTTCGAACTGTTTTCAATGAAGAACAAGAACAGCAGTTGGTAAATTATCTCTTGGAGATGGAGGTACGTTTTTTTTTTAATTACTGTAGCTGATTTGCGCAGCCTTGCTTACCAACTGGCTGAACATAATATCATCCTTCGTGGTTTCAATTATAAAACGAAATTAACAGGAAAAGATTTGGTAACTGGGTTCAGAAAGCGCCATCTTGAACTTGTGTTAAGAAAACCTGAGGAGACTTCAGCAGCAAGGACGCAAGCATTAGGGTATCCTCCTCATAGGGTTTACAATGATGATGAAACTGGACTTATGACTGTCCAGTTAAAGTCTTCAAAGGTTTTTGCTATAAAAGGGCGACGACAAGTCTGATTTCTTATATGTGGAGGGAGGTGTTCTCAGCACATTTGTAATTTATATGTCAGCTGGGGGAGTTTCTATTTCTCCTTTTATCATCTTCCTCAGACAACGGATGAAAGTGGAACTTCAAGACGACGCTCTACCTGGAAGAGCTTTTGTTCGTCATCCTTCAGGGTGGATGCAAACTGAGATTTTCACATAATGGTTTGACCATTTCTTGAGGTTTGCGAAGCCCATCCGAAGACGACCCAGTTTTGCCCAGTTATGAACGAATTCCACCCAAAAAAAAAACAGATTTTATTGAAAGGGTACAACTGTAGTTTTCTCCCCCCCCCCACTGTATTCATAAGCTGCAGCCACCCGGTGTTTCTTTCATGGGACCCGTCAATACTTATTATGTCCAAGCGATCAAAGTATCAGTTATCTAAACTTCTTGGAAAGACATTTTCATTTGCAGCTACTGTAACTATTGCGGTAAATGGGTTTGGAAAATGCGGCATGGTTCCTATAAACAGACATAAGTTTACTGACGCGGATTTTGCTGCAGCCATGACCACAGGAATTTTCAAGATTCTATCTCTCTTTAAGAAGCTGAAAATCAAGAACTGGGTGTTGAATTGAAAGGAAACTTCTGCTGTGGTGCCCGGAAAAGATTTGGCAGATTTGCAACAAAATATTTCTCGATGTTAAGACACATCACTTGCAAATAAAGATAACCCGTCTTCTGGAGATATAGATTTCCGACCAGCAACCTCTACATCCAACGCTTCAGTTCCTATGTTTTTTAATGACCACAGACAAAATGTCACTGTAGGATCTGAAGATCTAAACTCTACATTCGTTCTAATCTCTAAAGACTCGTCAAAGCCAAGTACTCGCAACATTCCAGCCCAGTCCACTGCCTTATTTCAGTACTTCATGTGACTTCATCAACAACTCCAAGGGCAAGTGGCACTATACTTTTGATGTAAGCCCACATGATAATGTCCCAAACCCTAAAGCAATTATTATCAAACGAGAACATAAGCGAAAAAAAGAAACACATGCAATTTTGAACTCGAGCCCTTTCTTTCAAGATGGAACAAGTAGCTACAAAAGCAAAAAAAGAAAAGGAAAGGCTAAGAAAATAAAGCTTGAACTGAAAAAAGGAAAGCAGAGTAACAAAGAGAATGAAGGAAGTAAAATCAAATTTAAAGGAAAGTAGAAAACGAAATCAAAATCAGCAAAGCCTGCTTGATTTAATGACTCAAACAGTGATGCGAGTGATACTGATTGGGGGACTTTTATTCCAAGTTAAGGGAACATGAAGGATGGATAAAGTGTTCGGGCTATTTACGATGGGCACATGAAGCTTGAGCTGGGTGTGAAGAAGAAGACAATGACTTTATTTGTGACGTTTGTAAATAAACTCGGTGTGAAAGTCTCTTTTTCTACGATGAAAATAATGTTTTTTTTTTGAAAATACACTTTCATTTAGTATACAAATTCAGTTTAAATTTTATATTTTTACATCGGGCAAAGTGACCATTTGTTAGGGTTAGGGTAAAAAATATGCATCTAAAAAAATTACCGAGATAAAGTGAGAATTAAGTTGCCTTATGTAGCTAAGTATATAGGTTATCGTATTTTAATATATAAGTAGTGTATTTCTTATTTATTTTCTTCAAGATAAAAAAAATATTCCTCAGCATGGTCACTTTGCCCACCCTTTTCCTAGTCTATAATGCTTCTGAGGTTTCTGGTCTCTTGAAATATTCTCTTTTTAAATTCTTTTGTTCGCTCTTTTTAAGGTTTTTGGTTGCATCAGTGAGACTTCCCTGGTGCACCAGTGAGACATTATTAAAGATTCCATTAAATAATAAATTACGGAGTATTTTTCACATCCAGCGGACGTGTTAAAATAATTGCAGAGTTAATTTTGTCCAAGATATTATTTATTCTGGTTGCAGTTGGTTACAAGTGTTGTACTTTCACAAACCGTTATAAATTGACACCGATTAAATTAATCACGCTACTAATCTGATAACACTTTACAATAATTGTCTGAAATCACTTCTTTTAATCATTAGATTAATTTAATAAGACCTTGCCTAAGCAGTCTAGTTTTTTTTATAATTTTAATTTACTTAATCGGAAGCGAAATTGTGATCAATAAGTATCGCGATAATTTTTCTTTGCATTGCGGATTTAAAAACTTTTCAATTTTTAATATAGTAAAATTAGTATAATAGTTCCGTCACGTGATTGTTTCCTGTATTAGACGAAAGGTACTTATTTGGTATTTTTATATTTGCAACTTTGCAATAAATTAAATATACTTAAAATCTACAATCAGTATATAGTGCTAGCCAAAAGTTCCGTCCCCACTCGTACGTTTTGAACAGTTATACTTAGAGGATCGCACGAAAAAACTGACAAAAAAGAAATTATAGGAAATAGCAAATTCACCGTGCGCGTGTATGTGATGTGGATTTTTGTGTGTAGATACCGAATAGAAAAACCTTATGCCATCTTGTGGACATATTCTGTTTTCAAACCATATCTGGTATAGATAGATATCTCTGGCTTCTAAAAACTTGGTTATTAACTTTTATTTAGTTAGTAAAGCAAGACAAGTCTTGCTTTAAGACAAGTCTTGCTTTACTGCTTTCAACCATTTCATCTTTGGACGTCCTCTTCTTTTTTTCCCAATTTCCCCATCTTTCAGTATTGTTTTAACATATTGATTCTCTGGCATTTGTATAATGTGATCAAGCCATCTAACTCTTTCGGCTCGTATTTTTGCCGTAATTTTCTATACATCCATATGTATATACGTATGTTTTCCATAATACTTATTATTTCTTTATTTGTTTGTCTTTTTCAAATATTCTCTGCCGTCTTTATTCCCCCGAAGATTTTTCTGAGCACTTTCTTTCCCAGATCTCTACTTTGTTTCTTCCTGCTGGTTCATAATCCACGTTTCACTGGCATAGATCACTGTGGGTCTGTCTTTAACCTTTTGTCTATCTCTTTTTCTTCTTTTCTTGCGTTCGTTATGGTTTGAATACTCCTAAGTATTCAAATTCTGACTTTTTTTTTCAAAACTATTGACAGTCTTTGCTACTTTCATTTTGATATCATTCTTATTATTTGTTCTGTCACCTCATTTCCATATATTGGGATTTTGTTTGGTTTATTATTAAGTCATATCTTTTCGCTTCTTCTTCAAATTTCTGAAAAACTTTTTCTAAATGTTTTTTTTTGTTCTCGCTAGCATCACCACATCATCCGCGTACGCCATGTAATGTTCCCTGCTATTGAATATAGTCCTGTTTGTGCTTATATTTGATTTTATTGCGATTTGTTTTACTAATAGTGGATCCCTTTGTTTTAAATCTCTATTCACTGTGAACTGTATTATTACCCTATTCATCGTGTTCCTAAGCGTCATTCTCACTAACCTTATAAGCATTTCTGGTATTTCTAACATTCTCATGGCCTTACATAGCATCGTTCGATTTCAGGAGTCATATGCTTGTTTGGAACAAGCAGCTTGGCAAGCAACAAGGCTTGTTATTCCATAACTGGAATACCTGGGCTATATAATGCGCAATAAACAACGATATGACCTACCTCGGACCATACTTCAAGGTAAAGTGCATGGGAAAACAGGTCCATCACAAAGAAGAATATCCTGGCTGCATAACCTGCAAAAATGCTTTAACCACTACCGGACTTTTCAGGGCAGCAGTCAAGGATAGGCACCGTAAGAAGAATGCTTGTTTTTCTAATACTAAGTTAGTACTAACTAATTAGCATTTTTAATACTAAGTTTTGTTCGTAGCTATTGTTTTTATTGATTCTAACATACTTATTTAATCAGTAGTTGTTCTTCCTGACCTAAAATCTCTCTGGTATTTTCCAATCACTTGTTATCATATTTTATTAATCTTTTCCTAATAATTTTTGCAACTATTTCATAGACTACTTCTAATAGTGCTATACCTCTATAATTTTCGCACTCCGTTGTATCTCCTTTTTTATAGATAGGACAAATAACCACCTTGCTTAAAACTCTCAGCTGGGATACGACTTTCTCCTGCACTTTTGTTATTTTTTTTAGGTCTCCTATTACTTCTTGACTTCATTCAGAGTTGATTCTTTGCACGTCCCTTCTTCGCCTTATTCCTAATTCTAATTTTCCTCAAGTTCCTTTTATTGGTCTGTATTTAATAGATTTTCGAAATATTCCCCCCATCTGTTTAATTTTTCTGCTCTTTCTTTGTTTTTGCAATACTGTAGATTATTATTTGTAGTTTTTCTGGATTTCGAAACTTCTTGGTAGAAATACTTTAATTCTTTGTTTATGTAGGCGTCTTTTATGTAGCTTTCAATTGCTTCTCTAGCTGGTCTCTTTTCTTTTTTCTGCAAATTCTTTTCACTTCCCTTTTTCTTGCCTCATAGTTTTCAATCGCATTTTGGGTATTTTCTTTATCTATTTGTAGTTTTGACCTGTTTCTTCTTGCCAAAATATTCCCACATTTTTATCGAACCAGTCTTGCCGCCTTTTTATATAGTCTCTTCCATCATGGCTGTCTGTATGGTCTGTCATTCTTAATCTATATCCTGTTTGACTGGATTCTCTAGTTTTTTGTTTGTTCTTTTCTCTAGTCTGTTTATAAACTGCTTCTTTTGAAGGCGCTCTAATTGGTAATTTAATCTATCTCTCACAGGTTTTGATATTGTTGGTAGTTCTTGTTTTAGTTTTGCTATGATTACTGTATGTACAGTACTATGGTCACTGTTGGTATCTGCCTCTCTATAACTCCTGCAATCGATTATTGCCTTATTATGTTTACTTTCAATTAGGACATGATCTATCTGATTTTTTATTTTTTTCATCGAGAGAAGTCTGTGTTAACTTATGAATGTCTTTGTGATCAAACCTTTTGCTAGCTATCTTCATTTTGTTCTCTGTAGCAAATTCTTAACTTTTTTCCGCATTTCTGTATATTCCCTATTAGGGTGCTTAGTTTTTCGTAGAACTCTGTTTTGGTTTCTTTATCTTCAATAGGCGCATGTACATTAATAATACTTATCTTCCTACACTTTCCTCTGACTCTCAAGTAACATATTCTGTCTAATATTGGTATAAACCGCTTTGATCACTTTCTCTGAAACCACGAATCCCACTTCAAAATATCTCTTGGTTCCCCCACTCTTCAACAGTGTGCTCTTTCCTATTTTTATTATTTTATTTCCCAGTTGTTTCGTTTCTTGCGGTGCAAGGATGATCTCATCTCAATGATTCCTAAAATATCAATATTCTTTACTACATTACAAAACTATTTCTCGCTGTCTCTGGTGGTTTAACACCTGCCAAGGAGTAAAGGCCGTTTGTTCAACTTTTTGTTATATAATAAACTTCATGGAAAGGATTAGTTGGGTATTTTACCCTTAATTTCTTAATTGTGATTTCAGCCATTCCTGACAAGTAGTACCTCCGCTGTTTGCAGCCACTTACTCTGGATCAGACACTGCTGTGCTTTTATACTACACCTAAAAGCCAAGTACCACTTTTATCGTTGATACCGAAGCGAAGATCTTCTACATCTCGCTGCAGTGTAGTCTTCACCTGTACACATTTCACCATTCGGATAACACTCAAAAGACATATTAACTGTAGACCACTTATTGCAAACGTGCACTTGTTATCTAAGGAACACCTACGTGTAGCTCTACCAAAAAATCAGAAAAAAGTGCGCAGGACAGAGGGATGTAATAAAGTGTTTATCCATATAAAGTATGCAGCTTGTGCCTACATAAAAAGCCTTTGTTTTCAACAGTATTTTATTCTGATTGGCGCATGTCAGTCCAACATACATTTTGCCATGAGCTTTGTTGCACAATCTTAGCGACGACAAACTCACGAGTTACTTTTGATTCAATAATCAGTTTTAGTAGATAGATGTATAACAACATTTCACTTGCTTTAGTTACTTGAAGCAAATATATGTTATCTTGAAAAATGTAAACTCCCAGTCTGAGACATCCAGATTCTATAGGTAAGAACCAGGGCTTTTAAGGAGTAATGGAGCAAAGGATGAAAGCATGCTCTTTGTGGGACATTTATGCGGGCATCTGTGTGGGCATTTACAATTCTGTTTTGTGGAGTTGAAAATCAGGAACCGATATGGTCAACGTGTCTCGTCTTACCTTCTCAAATTTGCTACTAATTTTACCTACAATAGCAACCGTCGTGATTTTCCTGTAATACATAAATTGTCCAAATCTGCGCCCCTAAGGGATTGTGAAGTTGTACCCTATTTAGTGCCGCGTAAATGTTATACCTGTATCTCTTATTTATTTTATCTTTGAAACTGTGTCACAATTAAAATAAACACCTCTTATTTCAAAATAGTATTATAAAATATATCATTGATACTTACCAATATGTAAACTATTGCAAAAGAGATCGAAACTACTAATGACCTCTTCGAGCTGTCGACCGGATCCTTTAATAAAATCGTCAGTTAAACCTGACTCTGAGATAACTTCATTCGAGAGAATGTTTTCGTTAATATCTGCCACCTGAGGCCTTACTGGATACTGTTGGACTGCTATCACCTGTAACAAAAGGGAATTTAATAAGTACATTTGATATATGAATTCAATTGATCAACGTGGCAATTCAAGAGCAATATACGAGGCAAGAGAAATTACAGAAACTAGTTATATTGTGTTAAATTTTAGAATATATAATAGGTATCTCAAAAGGTGAGCAAATGCGACACCTCATAAATCAAAAGCATAGAAAATCCGTTCTCTATCTAAATAAATTTTAAAAATTGTTTGAAATATTTTCCACCGGTTAAAATAGTTTTTTTATTAGTAGTACAAATTCATCATACAAACAAAAACGTTGACGCCAAAATACATTTATATTAAAACTTATAAAATATAAAAATATAACAATCATTGCTTTTCAACTCTCTCTTTAGCTAGAAGTAGACTGAAACTCATGAAGGCATAAATGCTTTGTCCTGTCTGTAATGAGAAATATGTAGGTATTTAGTCGTTTAGTCAGTCTTAGTATTTATGTTCAGTCCACCACTATTTATTAAATTTTAATTAAAGTTTAGCAGAAACCTTTGAAGCTAAATCCAACTTTACAAGAAAATCTCAACAATAATAAAATTCACTAATCCCCTTTCGGGTTTAATACCCTTCAGTATAAGGATCCATTTCAGCGTTTCGTTATTTGTGGGGAGACAGTATTTTTTTAAACTTTCTCGATCTCCCCATTACTGTGGATCATGATTTCTTCCAATATTCCTAACATTTTTTCTCCATTGGTCTTTATCTTCTGCTGCTCCGAAAGCTTCGCAGAATGAGTTTCCAGCTGAATTTTAATTTAGTCAGACCATCTAACTGGTGATTGTCCTCTTGATCTTCTTCTTGTTGCCGAAAAATTACAGAATACGTTGTAGGCATATTTTGGACATCCTTTTTTTTTAATCTGAAGTTGGTTTAGAATGGAAACGTTTGGCCTAAGAACTATTCAAGGTATGCTAAGCATCCTTCTGCAGCAGCACCATATCTCAAAATCATCAATTTTTGGCGCTCAAAGAGTTTAAGTATCGGCCCCGTATAGAAATATTGAGAATACAAGGGCATTCACCAGTCTCATCTTGATATTTTGAGAGATAAATCTGTCTTTCCAAATTTTAGTTAGTTTTTGCCTCATCGCAGTTTTTGCCATACCAATACGTCTCAGAACTACAGAAGTCTATTCGATATTACCTAATTACTAACTTTTCAGACCATTACTTATTTCCTTTTATTTCATTCACCTCAATTAATGTAATCATAAATTATTCCTGTTTACTGTCCATATCTACTTCTTGAATCTCCTGAACTTCCCTTATCATCCTGCTGTAACACATTTTCTCGAAATGGTTGTAATACAAACACTTATTGAACATTTTATCAAATGCTGGACACCTTTAGACCTCATGATCATGACCACATTTTCTGCACTATCCACTTTTCTTTGAGTTTTCCTCCTGTTCCCATCTTTTGCTTCTTCCAGTATTAAAGTAGTTATTCGAAGCTTTTCTTTTGCTGTTTGATTACCATTTCCCCATTTTACAGAATGAACATTAAGTGTTTGACTTGACTGAACTTTTTTAAACGGTATTTTTAAAATTCAATATGCTCTACACATGTCTATTGCCTTTTGTAAGGTTAACTCAAGATTCCTCAACATTTTTTCTGGTAAATCTTTATTGAGTGTTCCTAAAACTAGTCTATCCCTGATCAGTGAGTCTAAAACAACTCCAAATTCACAATTTTTTGCCAATTTACGCAAGTCAATTAGGTAAGTATCAAATAGCTCTCCTTCTTCTTGTTTTCTATTGTAGACTAAACATCTTTCGTAGATCACATTCTTTTTAAGGGTGTAGTAATTCTCTAATTCACCCAATACTGTGAATCATGCGATTTTCTCTGTGCACCTGTTAACTTTAAGTTGTTAAACACATCAAGTCCTTCATCTCCCAGAAAATTTAACAGTAGAGCAATGTTTACTGTGACTTCCTGTGTCCTGTGACTGTTTAAATCGCCGAATGTTTATAGCCACCTTACCTTCAAATGATAATGGTTGAGGTATTCTAAACTCCATATTTTTTTAATTCTAACAACTTCTTGTTTTCATTTATTTTGGAAGCAGCAGGCTTCATTAACCACAAGACCTGTTGTACATCTTTATTATTATTACTTTCAGTAATACAGTGTCATCATAACATAATCTAAAGTGCTTAACTTCTATGTATGCCATGAGACCTTGCACCGCCCGTCCCATGGCATAGTCATTATTGTAACTTACAGTCAAATAAACTATCTATCTATCTATCTAGTCCTGTCAGGACTTTACATTCATGAGCTATTCAGTCTCATGATAACTTTACCCTTTACAAACCCCGCTTGATTCTGAGGTATTTGATAATGTAGATAGGTTTTTGATCTGTTTTTATTATGTGCATATTATTTTGAAGAATAGCACTTTTCCCCTCTTTATACATTGAGCATTTTAGTTCGTGTGTGTGAATTTCTCCCTTGGCTGTTGGTTTATACCTCTGTTCCTAAAGAAGTTACCTACAAGAATATAGAAACTTTTAGGTCATATAAACGGTCGTCCAAAAAAGACAAGGAACAATTTTAAAAGAAGATTCGTTAATTCTGACTCTGACCGAAAAGGCATGAGATTTCATTTATTATTATTGTATCTTTAACTTACCTTCTGAGGAGGTTTTTATTTGTTTACATATTAGTAGCATGTTAATGTGTACTTTGTATGTTTGCAGAGTACTAGGTGATAACTAAAAGGTGGTAACTAATGACAAGTATACCAAATATGATTAATAAGTGCAGTTAATTTAGCAAATTTTTATCAGCATTTCACATTTCTTGATATCCAAATCATTACATCTCATTTTAAAATACCGGAATTGCAAGAAACTTTTCCTGGTATTATTTATATTGGCAGATAACAACAATATTTTCATCAAATTATTATTTCACTTAATGATATACACAATCTAATTTTAAATAAGTTAACCAACATGCATGTTATTTGCATGTTTGCATGTCATTTACCAACAAGACACGAGATGGTAAAAAAATTGAAGAAAGAGATTCACAAAAACGCGTATATTAAGGAAACGTATATTTGCGCCGGAAGGGTACTCATCAAGTTCTGTATCATTAGTTCGAATTACCTTGGTTACAAAATTTGTGGTAGTTAAAAATAAATTAATGTTTGTGTGTAGTTTCGAATTGTGTCGTAAGAAATAACAGCAGTATTTAGTTTTTCATTTTATATGCTAACAAGACATTCTGAATAGATCGTAGAGTGAATGATCTGTGATATTTTGATATTTAACCCTTTCATTACTGATTTTATTGTAGCTTAATAAAGCTGTTTAAAATGACTTAAATGATATTCGTTGATACCTAGAGACCTAACAAAGCGATTAATTTTTTTTACACTGTGGTGTGCCCTTGTATCCTTAGAAATCACATGGGACACATATATCCCATTAGTGTTGATTTTATTAATGGCTATATATGTTTCTAAACATGGAAAGTTTAGGGTGTAGGTTGAACGAACTGAAAAATCTATCAAAGCATAGACACACATCTGGTGACCATATGGTGTTGGCTAGAGTTTCAACAACTCGTTCTCCTAGAGTTCCAGTAGATGGTGTAAATCAAGTAAATATTGAAATATATATATATATATAATATATATATATATATATATATATATATATATATTATTTATATTTATATGAAATATAAGTATAATATATATATATATATATATATATATTATATATATATATATATATATAATATATATATATATTCTGTGAAAGAATTACTTTGTAGTCACATTTTTATACCTCTTTTTACTGACTTCATAGGAATATACTACTTCAGGCAGATCTTCTTTGAACAAAGCCAAATTGCAATATAAAACTTTACGAACTGTTGTATGCGATACCCAAATATATATAAAAAATATTTTGGTTGCTTGTATCTAAACGTACTATAATTTCTTAGTTATTCGTTAAGAAACTCTTCCACTAAATAATATGGTCTTTCAGATAGATAGGCTTTTGTCAATTTACGGAAATTAAGGAAAGAGGTTGTAAATTTAAGTTGCAAAGGGAGATGATTGTATAATTTTTTTGCCGATTATAATATAGATTTCTTTGCTAACTCAGTGAACAAGATCAATAAATACACATCAAAAATTAAATTTAAGAGTAGTCATGATTAAGTCTTGCTGGAAAACATATAGATAGTTACGAATTAAGCTGGATTTTCATAGATCCGATATCCGATGACACGAAATACGAATTTTTTTTCGTACGAATATATTTGATTGTCGTATCCGAAATTTTTTGACATACATTTCATATATATGTGTTATGTGTCAGAATATTGGAATGATTTGATGGATTGATATTTATTTCAATGCACTGTCAATAAATCTTAGCTGTTTTGTTTAATATAATATATATTGTATTGAGCTACGGTCTCGTCGTTTTTGCCTCACACATCGTAGAAGAGCGAAAGCAAAACTTTATTCATTGCATTTTTATTTAATAATTAGGTATTTGTTCCATTTTAAATATATTTCTTCTTCTTCTTCCTTTATTGGGTAATATCTCAGGGGATAATTTGCCCAGCTAACACTAAATTGAAATTATTTTATATTGGATGAACACTATGTCGAAACTTCTTCTTCTTGGGCCAAACAGTTAGTATAGGAAAGTCTATTCAACACAGGATAAAACTTTTCTCGCTTGGGGGAACAACCAGTCTTTTTCTGCATAGTCTTTTAAATATATTTCAAATATTAAACATAAACACTTCACAAAAATAAGGTTAAAGTTCAAGTAAAATGTCAACAATGTCAAAATTCATCCGATTTTCGTGTAAAAGTTAAAATATTTTTAACTTCTTCCGATGACTTTTAGTTTCGTACGAAAATTCCACCTGTCATTTTTCAACCAATGAAATTCGCTGAAATTTATATCGTATCATCGTACCGTCGGATATCGGACTTGTGAAAATCCACCTTAAGCAAACAGTTTCTAAAATATATAAAGGGGGAAGAGTTAAAATCCCGTGATTTCTAAAGAAGCTTCTGCAATGTGTTATTCTACTAAAGCCAAAAAGATATCGCATTGCTCTTTTTTATAATTTAAAAATAAGATCAGTTTTTTTGTTTAAATTGTTAAATTGGTGGATTAGTTTCGTCAAGTGAAGCAATGTAACAACATAGTATAAGAATAATTGTAATAAGTAATAAATTTTAAGGAATTACTAAATAAAGGGACACAACCATCATTACAGCAACAGAGGCAGCAGCAGGTACGGCAGGAGGTACAACAACAAGAGCTGGGGAAAGATGGAGAAGAAAATGAATTAACCAGACCCTCAACGCTAGAGGAGGTCCAAACGGCAATCCACATACAAAAAAGCCATAAAGCACCGGGAATAGATAAAATACCGGCTGAACTACTCAAGCAAGGAGGAAGGAATTTGGCTCAACAGATGTACCAGCTAATATGAGAAATATAAATAGAAGAAGAAATCCCCCAACAATGGAAGAAAAGCATAATCTGCCCTATTCATAAAAAAGGAGACAAACTGTTGTGTCAGAATTATAAAGACATCTCTTTACTTTGTTCGGGATGCAAAATACTCATAAACATTATTAATCGAATACTTCAACCTCTCACGGAAAAAATTATCGGGGAATATCAAACAGGGTTTAATCAAAATAGATCTACCATTGACCAACTATTTACAGTTAAACAAATACTAGCCAAAGCATGGGAATATGACATGAACAATATCTTTGTAGATTTTAAACAAGCCTATAATTCAATAGATAGAACAATTCTACCTAATATATTGGAAGAATTTGGCATACCATCAAAATTAATACGACTAGTGCAAATGACAATGACAGAAATAGAAGCACAGGTATGTATTTAAGGACAGATGACTGTAGCGTTTACCATAACGCTAGGACTAAAACAAGGCGACGGACTGGCTCCAACGCTCTTTAATCTTGTTCTTAAATATGTAATTATACGGTTGACGGTGAGCGAAAGTAACATACTTACAAGCAAATCTACCCAATTAGCAGCATACGCAGATGATATAGACATAATGAGCAAAACAGTGGATGCAGCGGAAGAAACCTACGTTGAGTTGAAACAGAGTGCAGAAGCAGTAAGGCTAGCAATAAATACAAATAAAACAAAAGTACTCATACAAACCAGATCAAATAAACTGGCGCAACAACTGACGATATAGAACATGTGAATAGATTCACATACCTAGGAATGGATTTGATCGCAAGCAATGGAGAAGAACTGGAAATAAATAGAAGGCTTGTGCTGGCAAATAAAGCCTATTTTGCGATGGGCCACATATTCAAATCGCGAGACGTACACCGGAAAACAAAACTCCGGGTCTATAAACAATAATCAGGCCTTAGTAAGTTATAGCTGTGAAAGATGGGTGCTGACACAGAAATCTGCCAATGCATTAGATGAGTTATGAAAGAAAAATATCACGTAGGATACTGGCCCCAATAAGTGAAAACAACAACTGGCGAATTAGGTATAATAGAAAAATATACGAGCAATATAGTGAACCAACTCTAGTACAATACACTAAACTTCAGAGATTACGGTGGGCAGGGCACGGGATCCGCATGCATGAGAATTGAATCCCCAGAAAATCACTAAATGCAAGAAATGCAGGAAAAAAGACCTGTTGGAAGACCAAAAAGAGATAGGAAGACGAAGTCGATGAGGATGTCAGGAACTGTCTGTTCATGGAAAAGAACAGCGGTAAATCGAAATGATGAAGAAGCTTGTTGAAGGAGGCCAATGCCCGATTTTGGCTGTAGTGCCTTTGGATGCATGGATGAGAATAATTGTAATAATCGTCTTTTATCAATCATAAACTTCGAGTTTTTATCGAAGTTAATTAATTTGTTTAGTTATAAAAAAAAGGTTTCTTGGCTTATTTCAGATGCTCCTGAAGATGATCTATTGATCGAAAGTACTTGGGCAAGATTAAGTTAATACTGTGTTCGATATTTGCCTTGTATGTCATCAAAGTTTAATCATCTTTTAATTCACGATTTGATTTGCAGTTTGTGCAATGACAAAATATGAACAGAAAAACTACCCCATTTATAAGAAGTATAAACTGTGCGTTTTTTTTTATTTTGAAATAGTTGGATGCATAATTAAACACAATAATTGATGATTATCTTTTTTGTGTTGCATAATTATTTATTACATACTTCATTAAGTTACATTACGTTTTTTTTCCTGAAATAGAATAATTGCTCGATATCGACAAACATTTTGTAATGTCCTCCTTGACCAAAGACCATTTTCTAGATAATTACCACACTTTAATTGGTAATAACTTATTACTTATCAAAAAAATGTACGAAGCGTCCTAAACAAATTATGCATTTTATTAGGCATGTTCGTTTGAAATGGAAAAATATAAAAATTATGTTTGCCACGTTCTCTACGTCACAGCGCAAACCTTGGACGATAGAAAATAAGTAAAACGGGTTCGTTAATTACTGTAATTTTTATCAAAAGACGATTGCACGTTAATTACTTATCAACGAACAAAATAAACACTTTAGTGTACAAAAAAACCTTCGATATATGACATACACAAATTAGATAACCGCTTGCAGAAATTTTTTTAGAAATTCTACATGGTTTATCAAATGCGGACTTACACTCTCTTGCTGTGATAACGTTTACATTGTTATTCCACATTTTACGAATATCTATACAACGGTGTTACAAATGTCGAGTAAAGATAACACAAAATTATGTATATTACTGCTGTTCTTTGACTTCGTTAAATAATTTTCGAACTAAAGATTTCTTTAGAATTTCTGCTTCCTCTTTATAAGCAATTATAGCCCAGTCTAGTTAAAAGAAAGGTCGAAAAAGTTTCGCAGATATCTGAAGATTTTAAGACATAAGTGGGGGTTACTAGATGACGAATAGATTAAAATGTACTTGTATTTTTACCTTTCGTTTTTTTTTTTAACAATAATTCTGAGGAAAGATGGCAAAAGCATATATGTCAACATTTTTACGTTTTGAGATTTTTATACCCACATATTCGTATTATTAACATTACCATAAACAATCATAATTTTGAGGTGGTAAAAGAATTCAAATACCTAGGAGCAACAATTACCAGTGAAAACACAGGAGAACGGGAGGTTGAAATACGAATACTGGCGGGGAATAAATCATTATTTGCCATTCAGCATCTAATGAGGTCAAAGCTTCTCTCAAGGCGTGCCAAAATCCAAATGTACAAAACCATAATACGACCAGCAGTGACATATGGAAGTGAAACCTGGACATTCAGAAAGAAAGAAATCAATAAGCTATTAGTATGGGAACGCAAAATACTGCGAATTATATATGGTCCTTACAGGGACAGCGTGACAAATGAATGGAGGAGCAGATACAACAATGAAATAGAGACTCTCTTCGGGAAAGAAAACATCGTAAGATACATAAAAGCCAATAGATTAAGATGGGCAGGCCACGTGGTATGGAGTGATGACGACATACTGATTAGCAATGTGTTTTGGGAAAGACCAAATGGTAAAAGATAGACAGGAAGGCCTAGAAAAAGGTGGAAAGACGCAGTCAGGGAAGACCTGGAGAAGATGGAAGTAAGGCCATGGGAAATAATAGTACAGGATCGGAATCAATGAAAGGTAATAGTAAACGCGGCAAAAACTCACGAAGAGTTGTAAAAGCCAATGATGATGATGATGACATATTCGTATTGATGAGATCTAGAAGATGGCAAAATAAGGTATGCTGCAAATGTTTAAGTATTGTGTTATTAAAGGTGCCAAAAGCAAATAAATTCAAAACAGTGACATCTTAAGATGGCAACACCATATAATATCTTATACCTATTCTTGTCTCCATATAACAGCTTTAGAGTAAGGTACTTGAGGAGATGGCAATATACTATATGCAGATATATTATAAAGTAACACCACTATTCACGTTGATATGCGTTTAATTGAAAGTAAATATAAATGCATAAAAAAAATGCCATGTATGTTACCTGAAGTAGAATTTAATTTAATACTGAACATCACAGTTTTTTTACAACATGATGTATAATCTTTTACAACTATATGTAATATAAAGGATTTTTACCCAGGTATTTTGGTGGCCCAGGCATTATAACCTTGCAATTTTAAAATTTTAAACCTGATGATGGACTGTTTAGTCCGAAAACGTTTGTTTTTTTGATGTAGCCCTTTTAAGGGTTTTTAAATAAATATACCCATTTACGAAGACTAACCTCTTTTTTGTGATACGTGGTATACAGCCAGCTACAGGAATTGTTTTCCTTGTGGATAAATGCATATATTATATTAACTCCTTTTCATAAACCAAACATTATTATTTGTTAAAGGTGGCAATTGCATATATACAAACATATTTCGTTTTACCCTCCTCTTTATATATAGAATGAGCGATGAGTTTCAAAGCAACATGTTGATTTATTTGATTTTGCCATTTACCAAATTGTTTTCAGTTGTTGTCGCATGGTCGTAGTATTTAGACCAATAACAAAATGTACAAAAAATTGTCATCAAAATTGCATCCCTGAACAACAAACTATAATCTGGTCTAGTTTTAATAACAAAGCTCCAGATATGCGTAAACAAGTATTATGTGAAAGAATGACTCTTTCTAAATGCAAATAAGAAATAATGAAAGGCAGAGGTATGAAAGGGGGAAAGCCAAATAATCGGATCGTAACTGTTAGTTACTAGTGCATATAGAACCTCAGAAAATTGTAACTGTGTACAAGAATTTTTTTATCAATCGTGCGTGTGACAGTAAACCAGCTAAATCTGCTCGTTAAAATACTAAAATCGTCAGAGGATGGATTTATAAAAACAGATATGAGAGGACAGCACATACCCTTAATAAGTTGGTCGAAGAACGCAGTGAAATTCAGAAATTTATAGATCAATATCAGTCATTATGCAAGGCGAGATAATCCCAATCAAATATTTCTACCGAGCCACCTAACCATCCGTCAAATGCATAAAGAATATCATGAAGATAAAATGCAGAATTAGCAATACCACATAAGCTAATTAGACACATTAAAGCCACAATGGATGAAACTCAGGCATGTGTACGAATACAAAACAACCGGACAGACTTTTTCAAAATCTCGCAGGGACTAAAGCAGGGAGATGGCCTGGCACCAACATTGTTTAACCCCGCACTGGAGTATGCGGTTAGGCAAATGCAAACTGGACGAGAAAACCTACTGACCAATAAAACGGTTCAACTGGCTGCCTACGCCGATGATATTAATATTATGAGTAGAACATCAACAGGAGCACAGGAAACATACGCAGAGTTAAAAACACAAACGAAAAGGCTAGGTCTGGAAATTAACACAAAAAAAAAACAAAAATAATGGTACAGACGAGAAGAAATATAATCCCACAAAACATTATACATGAAGATGACATTGAAACGGTTGGAAAGTTAACATACCTGGGAGTAGAAATATATGCCGATGGAGCAGAGGATGGAGAAATACGAATAAGGATAACGCAGGCAAACAAAGCTTATTTTGCCCTCTCACATATATTTTCGGTCTAAAAGTGTCCACCGAAATACAAAGATGAGAATCTATAAAACTTTAATTCGGCCAATAGCATGTTATGGCAGCGAAGCATGGGTCCTGAAAGAAACATCCAAAAACACACTCGACACATTCGAAAGAAAAGTACTGAGGAGAATACTAGGACCTGTGAGGGAAAACGGAATCTTCAGAATTCGATATAACAACGAGCTCTATCAACTGTATAAGGAAACACCCCTGTCAGACTTCATTAGAATACAAAGATAGCAATGGGCCGGACATGTGATACGAATGGGAGAGGATAGGCTACCAAAACGAGCACTGAAAGCCAGAATGCAGGGAAAGAGACCAGTTGGAAAGCCAAGAAAGCGCTGGGTAGACACAATAAGCAGCGACGCACAAGCACTTTTAGGAGTCCGTGTATGGAGAAGAGCAGCCACAGACAGACAAGGGTGGAGGCCAAAAATAAAGGAGGCCAAGGCTCATTTTGGGCTTTAGTGCCGTAGAAGAAGAAGAAGATATCATGAAGATACATATATTAAAAAAAGGGTTAAAGAAATGTGCTAGTTATGATGTTTTTCGTGACGTATTCAATAGTACGGGGTATAAATTTAAACAGATTTACATCGATACATATCGCAAATGTGACGAATATCGAACACTAAAAAAAGAATGCTAGTACTGAGACAGTTAGAGCAAAAATTAATGAACAACTGGAAGACCACATTAATGAAGCTAATAAAGCCTTGAAAGCAAACGAAAAGACAAAGAGATGGCTAAAAATAATGAAACGAAAAGAGTACTGATTTTTGATTTACATTGAGTCCTACCAGCTCCCTATTTATCAACTAACATAGTCTACTATAAGCGTTTATTATCTGTGTATAATCTTACTATACGTGATTGTTCTTCCACTGAATCGTCTGTTTGCTTTATGTGGTATGAAGTCATTGGAGGCAGAGGTTCTGATCAAATTGTCTCATGCCTCTACAGTAAAGTAATGAGTTTATCAGAGACCGTTCAGCACGTAACAACATATTCGGACACGTGAAGAGGACAAAACCGCAACATTAATATGGCGGTTATGTTTTTGTATGCCATTCAGAAGAAACCAACTCTCGAAATAATTGATCAGAAAGTTCTTTTGCTAGGTCATACACGCCTCGAGTGTGATAGCAACCACGCACGAATTGAAAGGTGTAAAAAGTAAATTTTAAATGATTTTAAAATATTGGTACCACAGGACTGGTTTCAGTTTGTAGGATTGCTTAGAGGCAAATCCAAATTTACAGTGATTGATATTAGGCAAGAAGAGTTTCTGGTGTTTCCAAGCTCTTAGGTAACATACTAGCCAAACAAACGAGCGACACTGGAGGTGAAAAAATATCTTGGCTTAATATTAAATGGCTAAGATATATCAAGGAGTTTGGGATAATTCAGTTTAAGTATACCCTTGACGATAAAGTGCCATTTAAAATTCTAGATATAAGAAGAAAAAAAAAAGAAGAGGTCGACCATCACTGGCTACCTTTCATACAGTAGCCCCTTGGGTATTAATCCAAAGAAAAAGAAGGACCTTTTGTCGATGTTAGACCTGCTAGACAAAGACTGCCATGCCTTTTATGAAAATTTGCCAACCACATCCAACGCAAAAGAATATGACGAATTGCGCGATGATACCTTGGATTCGGATCCAGAAGACTAATTGGTTATACAGGTCCAATTTGTAACATTTCAAGATTAACATAAAATACAAATGTCTTGTTTTTTATTTCCCTTTCAAAACAATATATACATAAAAGAATTAATTCGTAAGATGGCAAAACCACATATATCTAAAATATCTAATATATTCCAAAAACTAGCAAATAATCTTCCTTCATGTTTCACATATTAGAAGTACATTCAGTTCTTTGTACTATTGCATACAAAACAAAACAATATCTTTTATCACCGAATTAATTTTAAGTTTGAAACCTTAAAAGTTCTCTCCTGAAAACTATCAAAAATTGACATATATGGTTTCGCCATTTTTCTACAGAATTTATGGTCACACTTTGATTTTTTGTCTATAAGTTTTTTCCCTTATATTTTAGATAAACAATATTTATATCAT